AATACGTATAGAATGATAGGTTTCTTTTTTGTGAGTGTAAAACACTTAAATCACCAGTTCGAGTAACTCCCATGTTGTGAAGCTTTGTAAATCACACAAAAGCTATAACTAAACTTATAACTGGAAGAAATACAATGTAAACATTAGTGGATTCTAAAGGTCAAAGGAATGGGTTGGCATCACCTAACCCATGTCAGCTTAAGGATGTAAGAATGAGTTTTACAGTCTCAACTCCATTTCTTTCCTACTGGTTAACATTTTCTTACAGTGAAAATGTATTTCTGATAAGTGCTTAGCTCTTCTCACATAAAGCTATCTCTATCTTATTTTTGTCCCCTAAGCATTGCTAAAACATTTTAACAGTCAGCATAACAGTCTATATACCCCACAAATTTTGAGCCACTTTTTAACATGTATATAGCATGTGACTATCCTCCATCAATAGTACTGTGCCACCTATATTGGAACAACTAGCTCCCTCTGATGTTAATACTCAATCTGCACTTTTGAGAATTGGCAAGATCTAAAAACAGTGGTAAGTACCTATTAGAAATACATTTTCAGTGTAAAAAAAATTTAACTCTCGATACAGTCTTACCTCCTCTCACACAAAGCTAGAATCCAACATTGAAACAGTGGAGGGGCCGGTGTAGGTGCCTAACATTGAAAACAAGCAGAAAGCAACTGATTAGAAATAACTGGTGCGCTCAGAGACAAAACCAAAGCAAACATGCAGAGCACCACACTACTTCTAGAACACATATGCTCTTCACCCCAAAAGAAAGAAACAAACTTGAAATGGGTGGAAAAAAAAGGATTTACACAAGCTGAATTCATTATGAGAGGTAAAATCCATAGGAAAAACAGAGTGAGTTCGAATCATCCATCATCACACAAACCAAATTGGAAAACAGCCAGCTCATGTAGGTGAAGAGCTACTCTATAAAATTAAAACTCAAAGCTAACTCCATACCCACATGAGGAGGAATGGCAAGTCAAGGGTCAGTTCATCGAAATATGATGATGGAGATAAACAACTAGCCTTGGCAATGGATCTATCCAACTTCAACCAGACAGACAAGGTTCCACATCCTGTCCTTGGCATTAGGAGGTTGAGGATTACCCAGATAAAAAACAAGTTAAGAGTAAAATAATGTGGCTAAGGTATGTGGACTGTGTGATATATATATACACCAGCCCCAACAGTAAGTAAACAAAATATCCACTGTCAAGCAACTGGAATTATGAAATGGAAGTTAGCATTCGGCCACAACCAAACAAACTCCCGAAACCACCATAGGAGCAAAAAGTACAAGAAACTAAACTGACATTATAGAGTCGTGTAGTTGTCTCAAGAGCAGAAATCATAACTCACTCAACTGTAAATTCAGAGAAGACACATCTTGCACCTGGAATTATGAGAAGGATGTGGAACATTTGCTCAACCGTAGAAACAGTGTACGTACATCCTGTTGCCAATTTATGAGCAAAGTCCCCCAAACTCAACCATAGGAGCAGGGAAGAAAACCCCCTGCAACCAGAATTAATGAGAAGGGAGGCCTCTACTGAGCTCAACTGTGGGAACAGGGCAGTATCATCTTGAACCTGGTATTATGAGGAGAATCCTACATAAGCTGCTCCTGTTCCAACCGACATTCGGTTCACTTAGGAATAAGCATCCAGGTGAAATGGAATGAGGGAACCTAGTTTTGCCCTCTTCTCACTGAATGGATAAATGTATGGTTGTATTGTAAGGTAAATTTCTACTTCACACTCAGGAGGAAGCATCCTTGATCCACCACCTCAGTGATTGGGAACTAGTAAGTGGAAAGGACTTTCATGTTCCACATGGAGAAAAAGGGAGGAAGTAAATGTGGTAGGGAGTTCAGAGGAACGTCATACTGGAGAAAGTGCAATGGATGTCCACGATACCATATTTGAAAAGCAGACCGTCCCTGATTTATGTGCTCAAAGGTTCGGCAGTGATAGGCAGAAATCCCCTTCTGCTTTACACATGAATGTCCATGAGTGACAGTCCACCATTGAGTGGAAGTTATGGATACTAAGAGACACATGTATATACCACTAGGCATGCCACCCCCATATCTATGGTTGGCATTATAGTTCTATTGGTATACAGTGCAGGTTTGAGTTAAAGCACACCTGACCAGGCAACATCTATCACAAAATGATATCCCATTAGCAGCGGTAAAAGAGGAACCCTGAAAAGAAAATATAAATGAAATGTTGTGAAAAGACTTTCCACAGCCACAGGAGAGAGATTATATCCACCTGAGAAAGATACAACTGGGTCGTGCAGATAATGAGTTACAAAGATATTGGAAATACTCCACATTCCAGCCTGAAAGATTTCCTTCAATGGACGGAAAAGACGAACAACCAAAGACATGGTGATATGACAAATCTGAAGAGAATAAACGCTGTGGAAATAACAACCTTCCATGTATAGGTCTGAGTACACCAGCCTAAGTAGCTGATGAACCCAACCATTTAATGTGACAGGGGATAGACCATGGGAAACAAATAGGTTCCAGGGAATAAAAAATCAGGAACATGAACCCCAAATGAGGGCAGTATGTGCCATGTAACACTGTAAAGAATGAACCAGACAAAGAAGCTAATCACGATCGGAATGGGAATACAGGTGGGAGGAAGAAGGTAAAGAAATGGGTGTAAAACCCAAACCGCCTCATGGGCAGCAGATGTCTTAAGGAGGAAGGACCAGTCTGAATATAAAACAATATAAGAGTAATAATAGAGGATTCTGTTTACCCTTTTGTGATGGGTTCAGTATAATATACACCAGTTAAGAATTTATAAATTTTAATGCAGTAAATGTATCTTCACAAAATTTGGTAGACTTTTAGTAAAGATTACAAGTCTTTTACACACAAAAAAAAATCCACTTTTTAATGAAGTATTTTTATTATAGATTTATATGTGAAAATACTGAGTCTGTTTTATTACCAGTCCAAGTGTGAAGTGATTTTCATGCTATAACTAAAAAAAAACTGTTGTTCGTCCGAAAAACCTCAAATATTATTTGTGTAATCTCTAAAACCTCCTAAATACATTGAAAACTTTTGTTTTAAGCAAAACTTCATTATTATTCTGTTATTTTCTCTACCCTAACTCTATGGGGTCTGTCAATTTGACCGGCCTTGTAACCACTATAAAAAATTAGGAAATAAATTTAAATTATGCTTTTTTCTTTCTATAATAACTGCAGATTATAACACAAAAACACAAATGTTTAGTCTAAATAGCTTAAATCTCATAACATTATATATTAATATGTATTTATTATTTTTATTATATTGACCTTTCAGCCGTGCCTGGCTAATAATACAGAAGTTACAATGATGAGGCACACGTGTACTCGTGATACCATATCCAATAATATAAAACTGACCTTCAGTCTTTCAAAAATGACTTGTCTTGGCTGTATTTTGTAAAATACAATCACATTTCAATTATTATACATCATATATGTATATACATTAATACAATTTACAAATAAGTTCTTAAACTTAATTTTCTTAAAACATAGAACAGTAAATATAGAAGTAAAGCAAACAATTATCTCTCCTAGTTATAATCTTTGTACTCATTTGCTGCTTGTTATAGGTTGCTAAGCCTTATGAGATTTCCATGTGGAGGATGTGAAAAAAAAAGGCTTTTTAGGTTTTATATATACATTTTAAATAACAAAGAAATCATAAATTACTACATTGATACCACAGAATTCCACTATTAGTTATCAAGTATAGTAACTAAGCTATATTTGGGTCTAAATAAATATGCCCAGCTGCAAGTGACCTAAAAATCATCAACATCCCCAACACTTTTCATTATGCCAATAAAGAAGGAGACTCAGCGGTTTTATAAGCCAAAAAACACACTCATCATGTATCCAGTCAGCAGATATATAACCTCCTCATGGAAGCCTCACCAGATTTGACCTCACTTCTTGTGGTACTACTACATTCCAAAGCTGAGAAAAACGTTTCTGGAGTCAACTTGCAGTAGATCTCAGTACTAAAGTAGCACTTGTTTGTTTCTACCCTAACACTAACTGTAACAATATCATCAACATGTATTGAAAGGAATAAACGAACAATATTAACTAAAATTAATAATACCATTTTCTTCTCTGCAGTGACTATAGTATTAATCAGAAATTTTTAAATTACTGCTCTCAAACTTTTAACACATCCTTCCCTTTACTTTTAATGGCTTTATCACTGTACTTGGTACTACTGAAGCACAAATCATCCTCAGTCAGAAACAATAAGTGACAGCAGAAGCCAATTCTCTGTATCCTACAGAGCTAACATAAACAGCAAGGTCATGTTACACACCCTCAAGCTCGTGAAACTATATATTTTATTTAAATTTTGTTAGACTAAACTAAGAAGTTTCTAATTTTTATGTTTAAGTTACTTTAGTTAAAAAGATATATAATAGTAGATAAAAAATAAATATGAAAAACAAGGACTTGTTGTATCCACCGTATACTCAAGCTTCTTGTGTTTGTTTGAAAACTGAAGCATTTTTCATATGCTTTGTTGATTTTGACAAAGTTGGGTTTCAAAAAAAAATTAATGTAACTTTCATGTATGCATTTTAGAACATACAAAATTTACTGTCACTAGAATACAATGTCCAAAAATTGCTATAATTTATATGGCTTTTTAAGCTAAAGATAGGTCCAACATTTAGGGCATGAACATGACATTCACATACAAAGATGTCATGCCAGACTGTTATTCTATGGGTATCAAAATCAAATGGCTGTAATGAGCCTTATGGAAAGGAAAATTTGCTCTTTCTATTGTCTATAAACATATCTATCAGCCATTTAAGGTTCATTAGCAAAACAATCTTGAAAATAACTTTTATGTTTTTCAAAAGGTAACATTTAAAACTACTTTTATATCTAAACATCTAAATCCAAGTCTTCAAAAAAAGACACTCACCTTCAACGGGATATGGTAGTGTTGGAGTTTCTGTCTGAGCATAACAAGTTACCATACACTGATCGAGTCTACTCAGTGACGTATAAGTGGGATGTGTGGGTTGTTGGAGGAAGAAGTGGCCAGCATTGACCATGCTGGACAAAATAACATCACAAGACACACCTTCTGGCAGGTGGAGCTAATGATGAAATTTCAGTTCAGATACAGAGTTACATAAACTTGGCAAGGGCTTTACAAAGCATATTACAATTATTAGTTTTTCATAAAATATGAAAAAAAAAAACATCTCTCAGCTATAATATACTGTCCATTAAAATTAATGCAATAGCATTACCCAACTTTTTTACACTATGCACCAATTACCAAACCTACACATAAAAACATTTTTAAGCCTATATAATGAATATTTTATAATAGGCTAATAATTATTTTTGTGAGCTACAATTTTATCTGTATAATACAGTAGTGTTAGATGTCTTCTAAATTTCTTTGCTTTAATGCTTAATGCTTAATTTGGTAATTTAACTTTTAAGGATTTCTTTGATAAAAACAATTATAAAACTAGCATTTTATATTTTTCTTTTGAAGTTCATGAAATAATGAGCATTACACAGTGATTAACTTGTGTTTTCCTAACTAACAACATGTTCTTAGTAATTACAAACATGTTGAAAAGAATAGAATAAAATATATCTGTAGCAACTAAAGTGTGTAAAATCAACCAACACTCAACACTCAAACAATTTAAACATTTTTCAACAACATTTTTAGTTTTACAGAGCAAATGTTTTTATTTTGTTGTTTCCACTTAATATATTGCACTTGCCAAATGACATAACAATTCCACAAAACATGATACATAGTTTGTCAACATTTCTAGATTATCAAAAAAAATCTGCTTATGAAAAGTTTGTTGTGTTGAGTAAAAGATGTTTTCTAACCACTTAATTTTTTTACACCCACCTTAATTTTTCTGTATGTCTCTAGAAGTCTGATAAATGCATAAAAAATTACAAATACACTCCTTTTCTTACTAAACTTGCTAAATTACAAGAAAACATTTTTCCTGCAAAGAACAACATACTGAAATAATATAAAAGATACTTTTTAAAAAAAATCAAAATCAATGAAAAAAAGAACAATTTCTTTAACAGTGATGCTAAGCAAGTTTCAAATTTTATAAAAACACACATGTACATACAGCCTGCTTCATGAATGCATTTTTTTTATATTTTACTCTTTCCATTATAACTGTCACAAAGCTACCAAACAAGTTTGCCTTATGACTGCCATGCAACTTGATGTACAGTATAAACGAGTTTTAATCTTGGAAATATAACCAAATGAAAAACTCAAAATGATAATGATATTAATCATATCAATTAGTCTTAGAGTATCTAGTCTCTGCACCTAATGCAATTAAAGATATCATCTGGATAAAACCAATTACTGAAGTCACAGGATGAACACAACTACTAACTACTCCAGTTCAGTGAAATAAACAAAACAAATGCTTATGTTAAAGTTCTATAAAAGTATATCCAACCTAATTTCAAGTGAACAGATAAATATAGCCACATTGCCCTAGAAAGAAATGATGAATTGGAAGAACATGAAAAACATGATCATATGTTGGATTACAACTGCAGAAGTACAACTTCACTGTAGAGCATCGTCTGTGAAGCAGCAAGGTAGACAGATTATCTCAACAGTTTGTTCAGTTGTCAAATGCTTGGGTCTTGGACATCATGCAACTGCTGCAACAGTGATGATCCACAAAGGCAGTAGTGATTTCATTAGTGGATGACACCATGAACAATAACTCAGAAGTTTTAGAAAGAGCAACTGGAAGACACAGATCTTGCTTGGGTGCAGCTCAATGTACAGCATGATTGTGACTTTCTCAAATCATTGCAGCATAAAATCTTTGACACTCACTAAAACAATTAATAATGGAAGGGAGTGTGTGATACTGCAGTCTGGAACCATTTAAAAGTGTCTCTTAACTCTCCACACACACTTCGTCATTTTCAATGACCATATAACCATGAACTTTACATCCTATAACTTTTTATTTAATAAATGCATTTTTACAAGATTTGACAAGCTTTTAGTAGACATTACAAGTCTGTTCTATACAAAAAAATCAGATTTTTAAATAAAGTATTTCTACATAGGATTTGTCTGTGAATTTAGAAAGTCTTAACTGAGTCAGTTTGAGTGCAAGGTGATTCTCATTCTAAGAATAAAAATATTTTTTTATCTTACAGCTTTTAAATTTCATTTGCATACCCTCTAGAGCTTCTAAATGAATATTGAAGATTGTTTTCACTAAAATTCTACATTTATCAGCTATTTTTTCCACCCTAAATGTACCTGCATTAACCTTGTAACCACCACATAACAAAAATAATAATACAAAATAAATGTAATTACCCCTTTTTTTTCTTTCTGGAATGCCTGCACATTGTAATAAACAGTTAAACACTATTTACTTCTACAGTGATAGCTAATAGCTTTTTCATTTAATTTTATTTCATTACACAATATGTGATAGCTATTTATTACATGGAACAACAAAGAGTTAAGTTAGCAGCAACATGCTTATTGAATTACACAACCATGCTCATGCTGAGTGCATGTTACACAAGTATTTTAAGTTTCCTACCAAACTTTACAAGATCCTATTTTTACATTTTAGTTACTTTTATAATAATAAATAAAAGTATACATATAAAGCTAGAAATTTAGAACTTTCATCTGAAATCTTGTCTTCCTCAAGCTTTTGTAATAGTGTGATGGAAATTTACATCAAACACTAAGCCTATTTTTTTTTTTTTTTATTTGAGTGTGGAATCAGAAATTTTAAGTTCAAATATGCAGTTTAGTATATGCTCACTAAGTGACACCCTAAAGTACAGTTAAATTATCCATTAAATTATCCTACAATATACTGGAACAAAGTTTGGGACAAGGTAAATTTCGTATGCTTTGAAGCATCTCAGTGGGACTTAGCCTGAAAGATTGTTCTTGAAATTGTCCCTGTAAGAGTGAGATTAAATAAATTTAAAATCACAACAGTTAATCATTGTCTCTGTATTGAAACCATATGTCATGCTATGTATGACTGTCCTACATCCGCGGCTCTATGGGGAAAATCTGCCTTTATTTTCTGCATCAAGTACATAATTTTTCGTACAGTACTGTTCTGTCATCCTATTCCTGTCACTAAACCTTGTGTTTTGTTTTCCCTTTCCATATTTACCAAGGTAATTTAAAGCACAGATCTGGGCTTCCAGGTGCAGTAGAGAATTTCAGCATAGACGATAAGACACTAGCAAAATCCTGAAAATGGTTAAGAAAGCCATCCACCTACATCTTAGTGCCAATCATCTACACCTTAACAATGATGACTTCTTCAAAAAGTAGAACAAAGAGAGCTTCTATATCATTCAAAATCTTGACAATGCCTTCAATCTCAAGTTTTAACAACAGCTCCCCCTCTAGTTACAACTCCAAGTTATCACAGAAGTTTAACTGTATTCCAAGTGGTTGGATGGGAGAGAAAGATTGCAGAAGACCAGCTCCACTACTGGAGATTACAAGTCTAATACAGTGTTCTTTTAGTGTTGTGTGTGATTATGAACTCAGATTCTGTGCCTATGTTTTTATATGGACTGAAAGTAACACAATGTCTTTATCCAGTGCTAATAATCATGCATTTAATTTACGTGTTTGTGTTTTTCTCTATTCAGTTTATTCCCTTCCCTCTTGTTAGTCAGGAAAAATGAGCACTTAAGACAACATAAGCACCATTAAATCAGGTAAGTCCTGTTATCTTGACAATAATGGCCAAGTGGTGCATCCCTGCAAGTTCACCTCCAGAGGTGTAACGAGCACTGAGACCCATATGGCTCACAACTTAAGATCTTTAGTTTTAAAAAGCCAAGTGGTGCATCCTAGCAAATTGACCTCAAGAGGTTCAACAAGCTTAGAGACCCAGGAGGCTAAAAGTCTAAGGTTACAACCACAGTCTTTCACTCCAATGAGTGAAACTCATGGGATCCTCCTTTTAAAAGTAGATATTTATTATACCAATTTTTGTATGGTGTGTCGCTCACTTCCATCAGTGAAAAAAAGAGCCACACAGTGTATAAATTTTGTTGTTACTTCCCTTATAGGTGTTAATGTATCTGGAGGTACCATTTTTCCATCATCTCTCACAGGCTGAGATTGAAGAAAGGCCCCTCCAGAGCACCTTAGTCATATAGGAGTGAGGCATCTCTTTACCTCACTCCAGCTTGCCTCAAAATTAAGCATAAAATAAACATTTGAAGGATACTATTCCTAGCTTAAAATTGTTTTACAAATTAGTTTGACCTAGTAGTGTAAATTTTAGTGCATGTTTTCCCACAAAAACAAGCAGAGTTTTAATGCTTTCAGACAAAGAAAAGGATGGCAAAACCTTCAAAACTGATTATCCTAATGACTAATAGCCTCATCCCATTCAGTAAATTGGAATCTTCTATTTCTATAGGTTAGAAATAATCCAATAGCAAATGCCCTGCAGAATTAGGATGTCCTGGGAAGGTCTAAGCACATGGGTTTGAACTTCTGGTTTACACTTACATAAACCAAAATGTTACAAGTTTACATTTGAGCTTGGGGTATGCGTAATGTATAAGTATATAAGTATGTATGAGTATTTAGCATACAATGGTGGAAAGTAAATTTAAAATGGGCTAACAAGTGTTACATGAGAATTCATTCAAATATATTTCTTTTTGAAATTAAAAATTAAAATTTACATATTATTAAAATTTAAATTATAAACTACAATTTTCTACAATTTACTGATATACATTGATAATAAAGTTGTTTAATTAAGTTTTGAATGTAACTCTGTAAAACAGTTGTGACACATGCATGTTGACCCACTTTTGCTCAGTGAGTTAAGCTGTGATGTACCTAATGGTCCTAAATTCTCTGAGAAAATTATATGCAAAGAGTGGGGGTCATCATAAGCTACAGCCAACACATGAAATTGGTTCTTAGTGCATTCATTTTGAAACATTGAGAAGTAGTGTAAAGGCTGTCCTGTTTGTGCTGCACTGAGGAAAAGCTGAACACACAATGTGAAACTTCTGCAAAAACTTGTAGGTTATTCACTGCAGAGAATAACCCAGAACATAGCTGGTCCATTTCCACAGACTGATTACAATAATTGGTATTTGATAGTTATCAATTACTTTATTAAACAGACTCAAAGTTATCTATTGATCAACATATGTTAGAGTAAGACTAACAGGAGATAAGAAAAAGAATTATTCCGTCAAAGCGTGGTTCTAAAGTAACTGAATCAGCCTAAATGCACTTTGACAAAAGGAACAGAGGATACTTAGAAGAAAGAAGATCAAATGATTACGGTAACTCGCACCACAATTGTAAGTGAATCACACACAGAATACTAGTGTGATAGTAACAGAGAAGACAGTTCAGCTTGTCAACTGAAATTCTAAAGTAACTGAATAGGCCAAAGTGAGCTTTTGATAAGAAGAAGAGAACTATACATATATAGTGTCTATGATATGCCTATAATCTCTATAGTGTGAAGAATTTGTTGTACATATGTTTAACTTGTTCCAAATATATATATTATTTTGAAAACAAGAAGTGCATGCTGTTCATTTATCATTGAATTTATCATTAACAAGTCAAGACACCTACTGTATAAGAGTCCTAAGCCAAACAACAACATAGTATATACTTATACTATTAAGAAATACAAGTAAATACCTTTTATTTTGACAATTGTCAAAAGACTTATATTTTTAAATTCTGACAAAAGACAAGACAGACAAAGCAGTATAATATAGAATGAAATCAGTCACTTCCTGGGTCAATGAAGCCACAAAAGACAGAGGAAAGTATGTCACTGGAAAACATGAAGAGTATTGAATGGATCCAGGAAGATGGCAATAAGTTAAACACAATGAAATGTGGCAGCAAGATGTGGAAAGGAAGGTCAAAATAATGAACTGGATATACAAGCAGAGATTGACACTGATCATAGCAATGAACAGCTCAGTTAGGGAAGAAGTGATTGTATATGCAGAATTAGCATGTATAGATAGATATCTAGTCTATGAATGGCCAGCAGCAAAAACTCATTCAGAGCAAAATGTGAAGCATACGAGGATGCTCTTGTGTTTCACCATTAACTATGAAGGTCATGAGATGATAATACTCCAGACAGAGTCCATAAACATTATCATGAAATTGGAAACAGGTTTCACCTAAATATCAAGGATTAAACCTAGAGATTTGAACACTCATCTGATAACAACATATAGTCCATGCCACAGTGGTATCATTCAATAAGTAAGTGGGCCACCTAGCTGATAAAGAGAAGTCATTGGGCAACTTCATAAAATCTCTGAATGATTTCAATGAAATAGAATATAGATGAGGGAAAAGGAAAAGATGCAACACAGGTCACACTGGAAATGGAAAATGGAAGACTGGAAGAAAGAGGGTGAACATTTGGAAGTGAAGTGAGTACAAAAGTATGTGGGAACAACAGATGCTAATTAAATGAAATTAAATTGTCATTATAGCTATAAGAATCTTAGAGATTATTGTGGTGTAGAGAGCCTATGCCAAAGCGTGTGCTAAAATAATAGTACAATTAATATCAAAATCATCTTATTTGCACTATGTAACTAGTATTAAAAATAAAAAGTATAATAAAAAAGTGATAATAATAAAAATAAAACTAGATATATTGAACATTCTGACTAATACTGTTAATGAGAGTGACATTTAAGAAAGAACAGAGTATACCTCACATATGAATCACATAAACACTAGTTATTAGCTTCAAATGAATTTGCCCAGTTCATCTATATATACTCGCATAAAATACCCACGTTCTGCTGCAGAATTCTGTGGTCCCCTCATGATTCACAGAGGGCTCAATGTACCAGTCAAGCTTCTCCATTACCTTAATTACTTTTATAGCTACACCGATGCACCAATTCTTTAACTGATTTGTCTGTTGCCATTTCCCAAACTTAATTCCATTCAACTCTTTTTAAAAGCAAAAAGTTTCAATTTATCTTCTCAGATTAGTTTTTTTCTTCCTGTGTTTTTATTTGAATTATTTTCATTCTCCAATATTCTCTGATTCATATTTTTCTTCCCATTTTTTGTTGCCATTTCCCAAGCTTAGTCCAATTCAACCTTTTTTTCTAATTCTCAGGATTGTACTTTTCTTCCCATGTTTGTGTTGAAAAAGAGTATTTGGCAGTTCATTCACTAGACCTTCAGGAAGCAGAATTATGGGGCTACAAAGCAAAAAAAAATGGTCAAAATGTTTTTGAGCCAAATCTGAAAATAATACCCAGGTGCACACCCTCAGAACTCCCTTAGTATGCTGCAAAGTTTCAGGTCTCTAGGTTCTTGCTACTTGGAATCATGGCAGTCACACACACAGAGGCTCTTTTATTATTATAGATACATGCACGCACACACACAGCAACTAGAAACTGATCACCTCACAAACATGACTCTTGGCATCACTCATTGGCACCACTTTCTAGGAATATTTAATCTCACATTTTCACTAAGCCATCTTTTTAATGCTCCTTTCCTTTCCCCTTTTTGTATAATCTATGCATCCATGTATTATAAATAAACTTAGAAGTACATTTGTATTCTCATTAATCTTTTATGTAAATCTTCATCAAAAACTGAAGGCATGCATGAACATATACCTTTCACAGTGCACAAAATTTAAAGACATCTATTCTTACATTACAAGTATAAATGCAAAAATAAAAATTAAAAATTCTGATATTATAGAAATTTCAATTTAATTTAAGTCAGTGGATTATAATGGCTGGAAGTTTTAGTTTGGGTTCTGGCAGTAACTACAGTCTCTTACAAATATCATTCTGTGTTTGCCAATAAAATTAGCTTGTACACTGGTAGAGTAGTGATAGCTTAACAAGACAAACAATATTACTAAATGTCATAAATCTGTTTATATACCAATTACAATCTATTGAAACAGGGAGATTCTACAACCCTTCGATCTTCTGTTCATTGACCATCTCAGGTTTCAACTTTAAGACCTCCAAGCAAGGTTCTCAAGATATTTGTTGTGTGCAGAGAAATGAAAGAAAGAAACCCCAAGGAGGTAATCAGCTAATCATAAAAGGCACTGACCGGATCATGAAAAATAAGAGTAATTCCACAATGGTGTCTTTCTGGAGGTTAATTTTCACTCACAGAACTATGTACTGGTGATCATTGTTAGGAATGGGAAGGTGGTCAGTCAGAAGAACAAGATTTATTAAAGAAAGAGTGGACACAAAAAATGGAACTTAAAAAATAATGATCTTTGTTGGGAGTTGCCCATTTTTTTAAGAAGCAGTCAATAGTAGAGATAGTAAATGCATACATAATTTATGTTGCTGTACAACCATGTTGTATTTAATTTACAGTATTTCAGGAGGCTATTTGAAGGATAATATTTATTTGGAGTGATATATAAGCATATGTTATTAACTATGTAGAATATTTTTTTCTGAAACTTTAAGTCTGTAACATGTAATTCTAATGTTTCATTAGATACATCAAAATATAGACAAGTTAATATTTATGTAGAAGCACAAAGAAAACTACAATCTTACCTGTAACGTATGTGGTATTGGAACACCATGTGTGATAGGAATGTTCACCTGGGCTAATGTCAGGGACGAAAACCGACTAGTAGGAAACCGTTTCCTGATAAGCTGCAGAGCATTGCGGATTTCTTCTGAAGTACCTGTTGTGTGACAGCAAATATATCACATTCTGAACTTAGTTACCATATTTTTATTTTAAATACTCTTCAAATAATCTTAACTTATATTGGACATTGAGTTTCCTAGACAAAAGCAAACAGCTACAGTAATTTTACTTATTTAAATTCATTTTGCAAAGCAATGAACATTCTGATAGCCTGATATTTCTAGCTCAACTTTTCAAGGGAAACAACAGTTTTGTTACATTTTGGATTCATTTAACAAACATTTCAATCTAATCTTACATGTTATTTATTTTATATCATGGTTCATTCAGTTTATTTTGAATGTCACAGATCTCAAAAGGATTAAAACTAATTTTATGTGCAAACTGCATTCATTTCACTGTTATCAAGGTCTGAAAAAAGTTAATACCTATGAATGAACAAGCACCTATACATTTTAAGTCATGTTCCAGGGATGTAATAATAGAGATAAAAACAGAAAGTGATGAAAAAAAGGGATCTAGTACTGGAAGCAAATGCCTCCCTGTGTATGTAGATGCTCTGTACCTAAAAAAAAAAGAAAAAAAAAAAGATTTTTTGTCCTAATTAAATGCATTTCATTTACCGGTTTGGGTGGGATAAGATATTATACAATACATTAAAGTATTACCAATTCTATATTTCTTACTGTTCCTTCAAACCAATATGAAGTACAGCTGCTATTGAATAATGTAGATGTGTACTTATCAACCATCAGGAGTAGCTAATGGTACTAAACTATGGTTTATTAAAAGATTTATAAGGATCATCTATGGTGGCTTAGAACTATCTGAAGCAAAATGAGCATCAACGACATGTGTCAAAATACCAAAATCTTTTTACCTTTCACTAATAAAAAATTAACTGCATTTTCTTCTGTCTTTATATTACATGTATTTATGTGGATGTCTTCATGAGCATCTTACATGAGTACAATTAATTTTAATAAACTTGTTTGCATTGACTGAATCTAAGCATGACACATGCTTAGGTGCATGATGGGTTATAAAATTCATCTTTTTACCTGTATTGCTTTTTTTTCTTGTTGTAATAGTTAAAAATTTGTATCTTCAGTTTTAGTTACTTATATTTATTAGTTTCATTTTATTGTTATAGTTATTATTACAGTTAACTACATATTTTAGTTGTTATTATTATTATAGTTAACCATGTGGTGATGACCTTGACCTTTGTCAAGATAAAATAACTCAGGACTCTACATTAATTAACCCCTTCACAGTACTCTTCTTACGCTAGCCAGCAACCAAAATTGAATGATCAGAGAACCCATTTGTTAGCAAAGTCTACCAGATCTTTCACACACACAGATAATAGACAAATAGATTCAGTATGCATGTGTATTTATGTCAGATAACTAACTTTTATGTTACTACTATGTTATTGTTTTACATGTTTTTTAGTTATAGTTATACTTATTATTAATTGATATGATTTCTACTCGTTAATAGACATTTTCATTATAGTTCTAGTTAATTTAAAAAACACTGCTTTCTATCTGAATCTACTGTATTCATCCATCTACCTTACATAAGTTTAAGGAACACTAGTTGGTTAATATAGACTTGTACCTTCAACACCACAAAGTTTGAAGTCCTTGCTGAAAGGATGCCTCTTTATAAGCACACTAGCATTGGAACAATTTTTGATGTATTTCACATGTTTACCCTGACGTCCAATCAGACGCCCACAGAGCTCTTGTGGGATCTCAAACTCATAGATAAGACTGTATTCATCCCCCTTAGGATTAGGAAGTTCTGAACTTGGCTGAATGTCACTTCCACCTTTTCCACTATCACTTGAGTGCTGATGATAAATATATAAAAAAAAGACTAGATTAATAAGCAATAATACAACAGGGTGACACAACATGATTAAAGAAAACTGAAGAAATTTCATCCATTACACAACTCATAAGTTCAGTGTATAATTTGTATAAATGTTTAAGAATGGCACACAACACAGCAATGTTGCTGTTTTCCTAAAAATGTGAAACTGAGATCAGCAGAGGTTTGAACTGGAAGGTGATTTAACCAACTAAGCTACCTGTACATCTCAATTCATCAAGTTAACTAGTACATACGGAATTCTGGCAAGATTGTTAAACTAAACCAATCCACTTGTACTGCTCATAATTCATTTTTTTGGTTTTAGAAGTAACAAGTTAGGTTTCATCAGAATAAATGTTTATGGGAAGCATATTGTCCTCCAAACTAGAATTTTCTCAACAAGTAACAAATGAAACTATGTTTATCATGGGAATGCTTTTAGACAACTGTGCGATAAGGCATAATGAATATATTTTCAATTTTAAATCCCTCGCATATTATTAAGAATCATATTTGAATACAGTTTTGTTAGACATTACATAGTTCATTGTTTACCTTTGACAGATTCTACCATGATGTGATTGATTTAAGGTGAACATTTGCACTCCCATTTTCACATTCTCATGAAACTGAGCCAAACATCAACCCTAATCCAACTCTACTATAGCATATTTTTCAATAAAAATATACAATAAACTGTATTTTATATAGAAACTATATTTGCAATAAAAATGTATTTCTTAGTCCACTTAACATGTTTCTAATCAAATGAGCTGATATAGCAAAATTACAATTTATAGTCCTACTTATATTACCAAACAAGATCTTATAACAAGTGAGAGACTCATGAAGCTATATATAAATGTAAGTCATTAACCCATTTATGCATATGGTGGTTCTAGCTCTTGGATTAATCGTATTATATTTTGAAATTGGGTGTATTTAGAACTAGAATGCTATGAAAAGTTCCACCACGTTATTTCTTTTTATTACAACTGAAAATTGGATGCATCTTAAATATAGAATGTTAGGCATTCAACACACATCACATTCTGCAAATACTTGTTAAAGCTTTTACAATTATAAAAAGGCTATGGTTTGCAGGCTGCCCAGGACTCATTCTGCCCACCCAGCACTCCAGTGCAATTTAACTATATCACTCAGAAATAATTCCTCATAAGTATGAAAAATTTGTTTGTCGATGTTGCAGTACACTTTGCTTCGCAATTAGCTTATTAGAAACAGACAAGAAGCAAATAACTTTTGTGCCAAAATACTTTTCAAGAAAAGTCCACAGGAAAAAACCTACATGCAAAACTGAACAAATGGCCCATTCCACACTAATTCACTTGTACTTAGCATCACACATCAGACAATATCATCCACAGTGTATACCATACAATGTCTATTTTCTTTCCAGTAAAAGTTTATGTGATGTGTAAAAATATTTTAAAATTTTATAGATATCTAAATTGTAAAAGTTTTGCATAAAAACTTTTTAATCTCATTTGTATCAATTACCTGTTGTTAAAGAAGACCAATCAGGAAAATAAAAATCAGCCTAGGGTAAAATTTGTCTCCATCTATATTTTTTAGACTCATTGTTCACCTTATAACATGTGCTTGTCTAGAGACTGCTCACGTGGAGCATTTTATCAGGCTTTCCAAAGGAATTTACCAATTTTCAACATCATTAAAATGATAGCACATTAAAATTATACACATGAAAATTTTAACCCTTTTTTTTTGCCTGGTCAGGGAGGGAAGATATGATGGCAGGAGCCGCAGGCACCTCAATCTATGGGATAGACTGATTTATACTATCCACCACTCAAATCATCCTAGCTACAACTCTGCTGTCAGGTATAAACGAGTTAATGATTTCAACATTTTCCATACTAAACTGAACATTATACAGTGTAACAAGTAAATTTTTAAACATTTTAACATTTCCCAATATTAGCTTTAGGATCGCAACCCTATTATTCGGAACATACCTTTACTTTACAGAACCAACCAGATTCTTTAAAATATATGGTGGTAGTTTTTCATCTCTAAAACAATGTTAATGATGCTAATTGCTTAAGCTAATATCATGTGATGCTAAAAGCTCTTTACTTAGGAGAATTTCATATAGTTAGCAATGAGTAATGAATGATAACCTTCCACATGTTTAATTCTTTTGAAAACTTGATCTAGAAACTTCTAATCTAGTTTGCTTGACCTAACCAATACTTGTCTATCTGAACTTTCTTTCACCCTATAGTTTTGCTACTTTAAATCAGCCATCTTTAATCTAAATGACAAAAAACCTAAAAACGGTTTAATTTTGCTATTAGATGAAGCTATAGTAGGAATTTCAGACCCATAGCTCCTGTGACTTTTTGTGTAAGCATGCATAATTTGAGTGGCTTTTGTTGAATAACTTTGCACATGTGGCTTATATTTAGACAAAATTTGACACTATTTGTAGGTTGTAAAGATTTATCAGTGTACCAAGTTTGAAAAAAAATCCATAAAGGTTAAGTATGTTTTTCTATCAAATAAAGTTTCCAATTTTGCTTGGCCTAACCAATACTTATGTATCATTACGTCCTTCCACCCCATAGTTTTGCTGCTTTAAATCAGTCATCTTTAATGGTGGTTACAGGATTGGTCAAATTTACTGAATAAATATGGGTTAGGGTAGATGAAATAACAGATAAAGTATAAAGTTTTACTGAAAAAAAAGAACTTTTAGTATTTATTTAGGAGGTTATAAACATTACACAAATGAAATTTCCCAATTTTCAGATAAAGAAAATATATTTAATCTTAACATGAAAAACACTGTGTACTCGGAGCAATCAGAGTAAATTTAAGTAAAATTACTTAATTAAGAAATCTGATTTTTTGTGTACAAGACTTGTAGTGTTTAATAAAAGCTTGTCAAACTTCATGAAGATACACAAAACATTAAAAGTTATATTATAGATATCTGATGGTCATTTTGAGATTGTAAACTCAGTCGAATCAACCAAGCCCATAGCAAGAGAGTTAAGTTTTCCTTTAGAGCTAACTATTACTGATTTACTCCAATAGATGACATCAATGCATGAATATGTTATATTGCCATTTGTCGATGATTCAATGTAAAGGAGGAGGAGCTTATGTAGACACACAGTACTCTCCGTTTCGCATTGATAAGCTCTCACGTGACATGCATGTAACTAATTCTTCCAATTAGAAGTCCTAACTTGTTACAAATTTTCCTCAAGAATTGGTCAAGCTAGTATTTAGGAATGCATACATTCCAATCACAATATCCATGGGTCAAGCTAGTATTTTGGAATGCATACAAGCAAATCAGAGAATCCACAGAAACATAAAACTAGTAATAGTAAAAACTGATTGCTGCTACTAAACTGCACGGACAGATAGATAGATAGATTGCTAATCCTCAAATTTATTAGCATTCTTCAGAGAATTGCTTGGTAATATTTAGTATTCTTTATTTCATGAAAATAATTTCTGTATTATCTGAAGAATAAATTCTATGAACAGTTTGTTATGTTGCCATAAAGAAAACAAAGTGTACGTTCATAGTTCCTTCTTAGGAGTGTTCATGCATACACTCAAAATTTAGAGTTCTCATGCAATAAAAATTACCAATTATTTTGATATTATATACATAATTACATATGTAAAAATGAAAACATTGTCTACATAGTGAGATCACCGAGATTTATGATATTGGTTTCATTTTGCACATTACAGGAAAGCTATCACCCCTACAACTGTGTTCAAATTGGAAATGTCCCATTCTTCACACCAGCAGATCAAGTAACCTGAGGCAAGTTACAGCTACATTGTCTAATTCGTAATGTACCACTGGAAACCAATACGCTTACAGATATACGAAAAAAAGATCATTTGCCAAGAATTCTATAAAACTGCACTTCTTGAGGACTAACAAAACTTGGCACGTAACAAATAATTATAATTACATAAAAAATTAAAACCCCAAAACATATTTACAACTATGATTTCAAAAATGCAGTAACATTCATAACTATGTAATGAGCTGTTTTATAAAACAACTTTCTGGGTTTCTTACTAATCCTCATACAAAAAAACTTTTGTGAACTGAGAAACAAACCACTCATCTGTATTTCATAAACTGTGCAAATTCAGTTTACAAAAACTGGAACTTTACAGCTAATTTGTGTTGCACATAGGTTTCTGTGAATATTTCAATAGTGACAATATTTGGAAGATAGTTTCAACATGTGTGAACTGAAGATAAATAATATACAACTTTTACACATAAATAGTTTGTATGATCACGTGTAAAAAAATCAAAAACTTTTACATTTATAGTTCATTATACGTCGCAATTTACAAGATTTTTTTGCATCCTGATTGTGAACTAAAAAATAAGTGGACCTATACCAAAAGGGTTTTCACCTGATTTCAAATCAATGTATAAAACCTGACACATGACTGACATAACAACAGGGATCTTATGCTTCTCGCCTCACAGCCAAAGGAACACTCCAGGAGACCGGATGCACAATGTTGGACGAAACAGTTACAAATATCTCTTTTTCAGAAGTTCTATGTAGTAAATAAGTTACAGTTTATAGGAAAAGCTCAGCTGACCTCACAAAAACTAGTCACGTTCCAAACAGATCGGAAAAGTTGTACTTTTATATTATTATTATTTTTAAACAAAACTATCATTCGTGATAATATAATGAAATAACTGCAAAATACTGAAAGCATTTATAAACTATATTTGTAATGTATTTTTTTAATATTCTTTATATTACTTAATATAAACTAACATCAATCCAAATGGTCTGTATGGTTGAACTACGTAACTTTGTAAATAAAATATCAGAAATAAACAACATAGCCGTGTTTTCTAACATAGATTTAATATTGTAAACTCCAATAAAGGCTTGGGGATTTTTTTTGGCCATGCTTCCAACACGT